ACACACGCTGTTCCAGTTTCTTGGGGTTTTTAAATCAACACAGGAGACATTAAATTCCGAGTTAACAATGTACTCAATGCCACAAAGGTATTCCAGGTTGAAACTCAGTATGTGTACACTACCACATTACTTGCCATCAGGATACATCAAACTCAAATCACTTGGCCAAACACAAGGTTTTTCAACCACTTTTGGAGCATCAACCTTTTCCAAGGACACTTATTTTTGCTTAGTTGTATGGTTTTGAGTCTCTCAAATGTGCACGCTGCTCAGGTATAGATGATTAAGGTTCTCACAAAGAGAGGATGCCACAAACGCCCTTTCTTTCCTCTGGAACAGAAACCTGCCAGATTAATGTGCCACACTACAGCTACACACATGAAACCCTGAAGTATGCCAAAAAGTAGGGTTACTTTCTGAAGCTGTGGCATTTGATAACCCATCTCTGTCCTGTGCAAAGACTTCAGGACAATCAGATCATCATCAACACAGAGCAGTTAAGTTCCAAAAATTCACCACCCTAGGCAAACTTAATAAACAAATGGAAAGAAAGTAGAATTCATACCCGGGAGACCCTGATTCTAATCAACTACTATCACTGCTACCAGGTGAGTGTTATTTATTATACGGATTGACTTTGTCTTGTGGGGTTATTGATCATGCAAACTATCATTAACTTGTTTAGTGCCTGATCAGTTTAGTGCCTGCTGCAATGACAAGAGGAAAGAACTCTTAGTAAGGTGTGTGCTGTTGGATTTCCTCTCTTTCAATTCAAGGAACATGCAAGGAAAGGATTGGAATCTTCCAGTGGGCTCACTAACTACCGTATTTTTCGCCTTATGGGATGCACTTTTTCCCCTCCAAAAATGAAGGGGAAATATGTGTGCGTCCTATGGGGCGAATGCAGGCTTTCGCTGAAGCCTGGAGAGCGAAAGGGGTCGGTGCACACCGACCCCTCTCATATTCCAGGCTTCAGGAAGATATCCGCAAGCCTTGGGAGCCCCCACCGGGCTCCCTAGGCTTGCAGAGAGCTGCCTGCATCCCAAAGCCTGGGGCGCACTGAGCTCAGCACGCCCCAGGCTTCGCGCAGCTCTGCACAAGCCATGGGAGCCCGGCGCGACTTCGCGCTGGGCTCCCATGGCTTGCGGAGAGCTGCCTGCATCCCTGCGGATAGCAGCCGGTTCTGGGGGCTGGGGTCGGGGGAAGCTCGGGCTTCCCCCACCCCAGCCCCGCGCCTGTGGGGGAAATCAAATTTTTTTTCTTTGTTTGCCCCCCCCAAAAAAAACTAGGTGCGCCCTATGGGGCGAAAAATACGGTACACCTTTTCTATGCACTCTAGTTACCTAATTATTATAATGCACTCTTCATGATGCTAGCCTTAAAGATGTTCTGAAGCTTCAACTGATACAGAACACTACAAGCAAGTTGCTCATTGGACTTGGTCAGTCAATAACTCAAATTCTGCTTGATTTACAATAAACTAAAAAAAAGAGAGAGTAGGTAATCTATTTAAATTGCTTGTATTCTTTATTTCTGAATCACCCATAACCAAGATCTCTGCACAATGCACTGTAATAAAACCAATAATTACCGTATTTTTCGCTCTATAACACGCACCCGACCATAACACGCACATAGTTTTTAGAGGAGGAAAATCTGTAGGCATGCCACCCGTAGGCATTCCCTCCATAACACGCACAGACATTTCCCCTTACTTTTTAGGAGGAAAAAAGTGAGTGTTATGGTGCAAAAAATACGGCAACTAGAAAACTCTTTAACACAGCACACAGGTAAGCTACGGAATTCGCTACCACATGATGTTGCAATTGCCACCAATTTGGATGGGTTTTAAAGTGGTTTGCACAAATTCACAGGCTATCATTGGCTGCCAGCCATTATGGCTGTATATTACTCTGGTATCGGAAATTATATGCCTCTGAATACCAGTTGCTGGAAATCACAAGTGGGGAGAGTGCTATGTGTTCATGTACTGCTTGGTGGCTTCCCACAAGTCTCTGAGAACAGGATGTTGGGCTAGATGGGGCTTTAGTCTGATCCAGCAGGCCTCTTAGGTTCTTATGCAACACAGAAGCTTGCCTTATACGGAGTCAGACCACTGGCCGATCTTGTTCAACATTGCCTATACTGAGCAAAGAAGATGGTCTACCACTGAGCTACTGCGAGTCCGTACTTCTGCTGCCATGGGAAGACTTTTTAAATCCTCAACACACTGGGGACTAAGAACCAAAAAGACCACCTTCTCTCACACATGCTATCCTGTAAACTCTGGTCATCAGCATCCCAGACACTCATATGCGAAAGAGCCTTTCCAGTTGTGATGCTAAGTCAACACTGTGGAATGTCCTCTCAAGGCAGGCCCACCTGGTAGAGTCTATAGCTTCAAACAATAAGTGAAAATCTGGCTTTTTCCTGCCCACAATTTGTACTGGATTGATAACTGCAGCTGTGATTATTTTATTTTATGGTGCTTGTTGTTTATTTATTAGCCACAAGTGTTAGTGGCCCCAGGCACCTGAACAAGAACGACCAACTTTCTTGAAAAACTTCAAAAAACTGAGGCAAGGTTCCATGCAAAGAGTTTTCCAATTCCTTCAAGAATGTGAACAAAGGAATTTTATCTGAAATACCCAGAAAATAATGTTCTCTGAAACATGGGCTTCCATTGAGGCAGGGGAGGAAAATTAAGAGATTAAGAACCATAATGCCAATATTTCACTTTTTAAAAAACCTGAGATATGGTGCAAAATGTGCATGGATTGGTGTTATTTTTTGTGAGAAACTAACCTGCTCACTAAGAGACGTGGGTGGCGCTATAGTCTAAGCCACAGAGCCTAGGGCATGCTGATCAGAAGGTCGGCAGTTCGAATCCCCGCGACAGGGTGAGCTCCCATTGCTCAGTCTCTTCTGCCAACCTAGCAGTTTGAAAGCACGTCAAAGTGCAAGTAGATAAATAGATGCCGCTCCAGTGAGAAGGTAAACGGCATTTCCGTGTGCTGCTCTGGTTCACCAGAAGTGGCTTAGTCATGCTGGCCACATGACCTGGAAGCTGTATGCCGGCTCCCTCAGCCAGTAAAGCGAGATGAGCGCCGCAACCCCAGAGTCATCCGCAACCCCAGAGTCATCCGCGACTGGACCTAACGGTCAGGGGTTCCTTTACCTTTACCTAACCTGCTCACTGCTACACTCTGGAAAAATTACTGCAGACACCCTGACTGTGAAGGCAGAGGTTTCCTATGTAACCTAGGCTATCCCCCAAATCTTGTTTTCTGAAGGCAGGAGCTGCGTATTCTGGGTAATAATCTCAGATAATGTATATTACTGCTGGTTCTATAAACTAGTCTGTAGTGACATGCAGTATATAGCCTTTCACCTTCAGTTTCATTGTTTCCAAAGCATGAACAGAACCAGTACTGTTCAAAGCTTGCTGCAAGGATGACTTAGACCTTTTCACCATGTGGGAAAGGCTTCCCAACCGTAAGAAACAACAGCAAGTGCCATGTGACTATTGCACTATTTCCTATGCCAATGTTGCCTTGTCTCTCAAAACAAACAATTCTGTTGGCATAGGAAATAACTGCATCATTTGCTTGGCCCACATAATTGTCTATTTCAATCTTATCATCTTGCTCAGTTGTTTTTTCCCCCACCAGCTTTTCTTTCTAGCATTCTAACTGTTTTTCTTGTTAGTCATTCAAGCAGCATTTGGGAAGGAAAGCACAGTACAGACAATAACACACAAAAATATTTTTTTTACAAAGAAGTCTCCTACAGGCATCACCAAAGCAACCTGACACCCAGCCACAAAAGGAGTGATCGTAATTAAGGACCAGCTCTAAGTTCCTTACCTGCATGCAGGTCAAAGCAGCCACTGAGCCAACAGATTCTTTCTTTCTTTTTTCTTACCCCACCCCTTTACACCAAGTAGCTCAAGGCATGGCATTTCATTGCTCCATTTTATTCGCACAACAACCCTGTGTCTTAGTTCAGGCATGACTCACCCATGGTTACCCGGTTAACTTCACATCGGAGGGGGAATTTGAACCAGGCACTTCCCCACCCTTGACTGATATGTTAAGTGGTATACAGCCCTGTGCCGCCTTTAAGCATTCCGGGGGTGGCCTGGGTTCGACTCCTACCCCTTCTGCCCACGTGGAAACCACTACTTACTGCGGGAGCATCCCAAGCACACGGCGCCTTCAACCCGCGATCCACACACCATATGGCCACGACATCTGCCACAACTGGCCAGAAATGCAGGGGAAGAGGGAGGCGTTGCGAAAGAGTTGCCTCAGCCCTTGGCCAGAGACTTCTGGCGCGAGGAACAAACCAGGCGCAGCCCCAAAGCCCGGGCTCCCCAGCTGGGCAACGGGAACGAGGGCGGCCTACCTCACGGGGCTGCTGTGAGGAGGAAGCCCCCTCGGGAAAGGAGGGAGGAAGTTCCTCCAAGGCGGCGGCCGCCTCCCCTCCCGCCTCCCCGGGCAACTCACCCCACGTTGGCGGGGCGCTCCGTCGGCGGCGGCTCGGCGCTCTCGCTGTCCGAGGCCGAGGAGCAGGAGGAGGCCGACGACGACGACCCCGAGGAAGCGGACGAGGCCGAGCAGGCGCTGGCGCTGTCGGTGGCGTCCGAGTCGCAGGCGCGCTGGGCGGCGCGGAGGCGGGCGGTGGCGGAGGCGGCCAGCTGCCGCAGCTCCGGGCCCAGCGCGGGCGGCGGAGGAGGCGCCTCGGAGCCCGTCCGCCCGGCCACGCTCCGCGCCAGCCCGGCCAGCTGCTGCCGGACGTGCCGCTCCACCTGCCGGGCCTGCAGCGCCCGCAGGCGGCGGCACAGGCTCCGCGCCCGGCCCCACAGAGAGGCCTGCCGGGCCCGCGCTTCCGCCTGGCGCTGCCGGCGACTCTGCGGCCGCCACGGCGGGCCGCTCGCCTCAGGCGCAGCCGCCGCCGCCATGGCGGGCCCGGTCGCAGCAGCCGCCGTCGCCGTCGCCATGAAGGGAGCCGTCGCCTCGGGGCAGGCCGCTCCGCCTCAGGAACAGCAGCAGCCGCCGCCTCCTCCTCCTCAGCGCCTCAGGGCGGTCCGGGACTCTCCATGGACTCCCGGCCGGGACAATACGAGCTCGCCCGAGACGGCGCGCGCGCGCCCGGCCCAGATATTTCCCTCCCAGCCCGCGCCTCAGCCGCGGCGCACGCATGCGCGTAGGAGCGGGCCGTCGCAGCAAGCCTCTCTCCTCTCTCTCTCGAGCGCGCGCGCGCGCCAAACACTCGGCGAAATCCTCGAGTTGCTGACAGAGCGCAGCGGCCGCCGCAGCCGATAGAGGGCGGTCGCCGCCGTCTGCGCCTGCGCACCGCAGCCTCTTTTCCCCCCACACCCACTACTCGCCATCTTGTTACCACGTGAGCACTGGGCGTCGCTGCTGCTCATGCGCCAACGCGCGACCCTCCCATATTCGCTCTTCCGAGGCAGCAGGAGGTGGGAGGGGGAAGCTCGAAGGAGACGCATGCGCACAACCGGGGCCATGCGCGCCCAGCCTTAACCCAAGCGTTTCCCGCGGGCGCCTGCGCAGTAGCCGCCACAATTGCAAATCAAGGCAGGAGCCGTCAATGCTGTTACTACGCGTCCTGGGCTGCATTCTCACGAGCATGTTTTCTAGTTCCAGGCGCGCCTGGTTTCAAACTGCAGCTTAACAAAACACGCAGCTCCAGCGTCTCCCAGATGCGCACAACAGGCAGGAATTCAGCAGGTGGAGCCTTACCCCAGAAGCATTTCCTCCTGAATTTCTATTATGCATCTGCCAGTAAAATGAAAAATACCTCTGCAGCTCAAAGGGGGACCTTATCAATATTTTAACCAATCAAACAAGACATATTAGAATCATAGAATTCATACTTTATCCACCATGGTAATTTAACCCAACCGCCTGCAATGCAGAAATCTTTTGCCCAATTCAGGGCTCCGACCCAAGACCGGAAAATGAGTCTCAGGCGCTACAGGCTGAACTATCCCAGCATAAAGAGGACAGGCATATCAAAGCCTGGAAACCAACCCAAACATTCAAGCTTTAAGCAAGCTAACCTTTTTATAGAATACACAGTAGAATGGGGAGAGTTATTCCTGAAAATAAATTAATTTTACCACTGAATACTTGCTTTACTCGTGGGCATCTTACCCCTTTTTCAAAAAGCCCCAGTGCCTGGACAACCTTCTACTGCTTTTTAAATGGCAAGGTGTTACACAGACCCAAGAAGCTGCCAACTGCTGACCACAGCATTCAAAGGCTTTTCTTTCTCAGTCTTTAGACTAATGTCAACACATTAGCAAATGAGGTTAATGGCAGGTACCCTATCCTCATCTCTCAGGTTACAGGGACAAGCTGAAACAACTTTTATATTTCCAGGAGGGGAAAAGAAGCAAGGTTAGAAGTTAAAGAATATAGTATACAATTTTTCATATACATACTCAAGCCAAGTGCTTGTCTGTATTCACAAGAAACCACATTTGTCAGGCTCCCTCTATACTAACCAAATTGAACTCAGAGTTTTGGAATCACTGCAATAGCATATATCTGTATGAAGGGCAATATACAAACCTCGTGCTCATAAAAAATAAAAACATTACAATGTGATCTTAAGCACTGTTACTTGGAGGAAAGTTCAGTTGAATTCCGTGAAGCTTACTCCCTGCAAAAAGTGGTTAGAACTGCAGCCTTAGCCTTTAATATACTACAAAATTTAAAGGTTTTCCAAGCACTAAGAGCTCCTGTGACACAGTGGGTGGTGTGGTAGTCTAGGCCCTTGAAGAGCAGAGTTCAAATCTATCCTCAGCTATGAAGCTCACTGAATGAGCTTGGACCCTTCACCGTGTCTCAGCCTAACCTTTCTCGGGAGTGTTGTTGTGAGGACAGAATGGAGAGGAACAGCAAGGGAAAGGTACAAGATTAAGATACAAGGTAAGTCGCATTTCTACAAATTCTGAAAACAATTTAAATGCTACCGATTAGCATTTATTAATTATGCATAACAAAGCAGCAACTAATACTCAGCACGAAGTATATAAGCATGGTACATTGCCTGCACTCATTTAGATTGTAATAGTGTGCATAACTTTTCAAAAATGCTGAAATGTGGCAGAAAAATAAGAATGTGGCTCCCAAGAGTGCTTCATCTGGCCCCTTCTTTCCTCACTTTTAAGTATATTATTACAAGTTATATTCTGGCAGGCATTTCTGGTGGAGGCCTCAAAACAATATGTTCCTATATTGCTGCTGTTTGCTGGCGTATATAATATGGTTACTGTTTTGTTCCCATTATTGTTATTTTTAGATTGTATTTTAGTTTGTTTGGTTGTTGTAACTTTTTAAAATAAGAAAACCTGTTTCAAATTAAGATTCCTGCCAACTTCACTCAATGCTGATGAAATTAAAAATGAAGAATGTTCATTAGCACTGAATGGAGTTTATATGTTTCTTAGCTAAATAAGTCTTGCTTAACTAATTAATTAATTAAATTTAATTAATTTTATAATGAATGATTTTAGAGTGTTGTTTATGCTGTACTTTTGTACTGCTTTATTGTTGTTAGCCGCCCTGAGCCCGGCTTCGGCTGGGGAGGGCGGGATATAAATAAAATTTATTATCATTATTAAATAAGTCATTGTAACATATATAATCCGGAACTCAAATCCACAACAAAACACTCACATTAGAGGTATTCTAATTGCAGCAGAGTGTTGACCATTACTATGTCTACAACCTAAAGCTCTAATTTGCTCATCCCAGGCTATCTGAAGGACTGTATCCTCCCATACGAATCTGCCCAAACTCTGAAACCTGCTTACTTGGCCCTAACTTCCCTTGAACTCATTTCTGAGTAAACATGCATAGCGATGGGCTATACGAATGCATGCCAAGACCGTTAGGGAGACCTCTGGGCAGGGTCTGGTAGTGGGCAGAATGACTCACCTGCCTTCCCAACTATGGCCATTGCAGCAAGTTCCTGAGAGGTGGGGAGGAGAGTTCAGCACGGTGCAGGCACAATGGCAGGCGCATCAGATTGGCCTGCGCCGCCGCCACCCCACCCACCCCACACTGAGCTTCCTGGGCTTCTCAATCACTGAAAGTGATGCTCAGCATTGGGAAGGCACATGAGCCTTGCTGCCCTGCCTGTACTGCACCACAGTTCACGCCCAGCAGGAACTATGCCTCTCCCTGCTCCGGTACAGCAGTGTTCCCCAACCTTGGGCCTCCAGCTGTTTTTGGACTACAACTCCCATCATCCCTCGCTAGCAAGACCAGTGGTCAAGGATGATGGGAGTTGTAGTCCAAAAACAGCTGGAGGCCCAAGGTTGGGGAACACTGCGGTACAGCACTAACACTCAGAAACTGCTGTAGAATTGAAAACAGAAGCAGCAGTAATAAAAAGAGAAAGTGAAGAACCACCACGGGGCAGTAGATTTTGCTCTCTACTACTCCTTTGCAGTGTGTCTGTTCATTCTGGACGTACGCTGCAGCTTGAATACATTATTTTGATATGATTTATAATGAATGAGGGGCTCAAAAGGGAGTGAAAGAAAAGGGTATCCTGCCTTTGGGTCTCTCTTTCAGGACGTGACGAGAGGGAGGGCACGTCCCGTGGGCGACTGATTGAGGATAGGCTTAATAATAGTTGACATAATAAAACTTGGCCAGGGTGAGGGTGGAAATGCGAATTAAGGTGGCTTCTAAGTGAGAAGGGGAATGCTGGGAAGCTGTGTCCAGCTCAATACAGTGGTACCTCGGATTACAAATGCTTCAGGTTACATACGCTTCAGGTTACTGACTCCGCTAACCCAGAAATAGTACCTCGGGTTAAGAACTTTGCTTCAGGATGAGAACAGAAATTGGGCTCCGGTGGCACGGCAGCAGGAGGCCCCATTAGCTAAAGTGGTGCTTCAGGTTAAGAACAGTTTCAGGTTAAGAATGGACCTCCGGAATGAATTAAGTACTTAACCCGAGGTACCACTGTACAGTTCATGATGTGGCTGATGGGTATTTAGTGTTTGTGTCACTTTATAGTATTGATTTACCATGTTTCTTGTATTTTTATTTCAACTTTGCTTTGCATTACAGTGGTACCTTGGTTTAAGAACAGCTTAGTTTTTAAACAACTTGGATTAAAAACGCTGTAAAAAAGTAGGTGTTTGTGAACTTTGCCTTGGAAGGAGAACATGTTCCGCTTCCTGTCGAGTGTGTTCCATTTGTAAATTGAGTCCCCCGCTGCTATGGGAAAGCACGCCTTGGTTTAAAAACGCTTTGGTTTAAGAACGGACTTCTGGAACGGATTAAGTTCATAAACCAAGGTACCACTGTACAATGTTGTTCACCACATTGGGGGACTTTGGGCCAAAAAGCTCTACAGAAATAAACCGTAGCATGTGACGTAGAAGGCATTCCCGTGAGAGGCTTAATATTCTTAAGGATTCTTACCATCATGTTACTCCCCTTTCTGACCCATCCATTTCTGAAGGTCTGGAAGAATTGCGGCACTGCACTGCAAACCAGGATGAGGCCATCAAAACAAGCTCCTCCAACTTCAGGTGCATGTTTAATCTGGGGGGAAAGTAATTCCAGGGTTTGAAAGAAATGCACAGAACCATAATTTTTCTCAGGACCAATAAATATAAAAAGAAAGTTGTAAGGACCATAATTTAATCAAAGCCATGGAAAATCCTGAGCTCAAAGAAGGATACACAGCAAACCTATTTCAACACGAGTGAGTTCCAGAGTTTGACTAAGCACTGTGTACTTCCTTTTATATTTCCTGAACCTTCCAACATACACCTGAACTGGATGTAACAGTGTCCGAGCGTCAAATGTTACTGCTTATCTTCATGCCACTAAGGGGAATTTGTTTGTTTGTTTGTTTGTTTGATACAATTCATATGCCGCTTGATTGTATAAAAAAATTACTATAGCTCATAGTGGTTTATGCAAACCTAAAACAATAAAAACAGGGGTGGGGGAATTGCAGCTATATTTTGAAACGTAAAAAAGTTAAAATATGAAAACAGATTAGAGCCGACCGACCTGCTAAATTTCTGCCTTCCAGACTGCTGAGGGAGAAAGGGTGGGACCCGAGATGGGCGAGGGTTCAACACCTTTCACACCCCACTCGGCCCTTAAGTGCGACCTTCTGTCCGCCTCAGCCTACCTCACAGGGTGGTTGTTGCTGTGGGGGCTATTACTACCAGACTTTTATTTTATTTTATTACTACCAGACTTTTAGAAGACATCTGAAGGCAGCCCTGTTTAGGGAAGCTTTTAATGTTTGATGTATTACAGTATTTTCATATTTTTTGGAAGTCGCCCAGAGTGGCTGGGGAAGCCCAGCCAGATGGGCGGGGTATAAATAATAAATTATTATTATTATAATTAAAGGTAAAGGTAAAGGTACCCCTGCCCGTACGGGCCAGTCTTGCCAGACTCTAGGGTTGTGCGCTCATCTCACTGTATAGGCCGGGAGCCAGCGCTGTCCGGAGACACTTCCGGGTCACGTGGCCAGCGTGACATCGCTGCTTTGGCGAGCCAGCGCAGCACACGGAATTGCCCTTTACCTTCCCGCCGGAGCGGTACCTATTGATCTACTTTCACTTTGACGTGCTTTCGAACTGCTAGGTTGGCAGGCGCTGGGACCGAACGACGGGAGCTCACCCCATCGTGGGGATTTGAACCGCCGACCTTTCGATCGGCAAGCCCTAGGCGCTGAGGCTTTTACCCACAACGCCACCTGCGTCCCCTATTATTACAATTACTTTTTTTAAAATAATGAAAAAATAATAGTATTTATTAATATTAATATTTTAATAACATTTATTATTTTAATTATTTGATAATATTTTAACGTTTTATTATTAAAATAATAATATTTTAATATTTTAAATAATATTAAAATTATTTTTTAATAATTAAAAAAAAGTAATTATTATAATTACTTTTTTTTAAAAAACCGAGGTGTTGGACGGGGGGCAAACCCACGCACGCCGCCTCGCGCCCCTTGGGGAAGAGGGGGGGGATATAAAGAGAAATAAATAAATAAAGGAGCAGGGAAAAGAAAGAGGAAAAGAGAAGCAGGCGGCAGCCCGGCAGGTGAAGCCCAGACAGTTGTAGGCGGGGGGGGGGGAGGTGATAAGGCGGAGGGACTGAGGGGAGGCGAGTCCCGGGGGAGGGAGAAGGGGCGCCTCACTCACTCACCGGCAGAGGCCCGGAGGCGGCACCGGCCTCCTCCTCTCCTCTCTCTCTCTCTCTCCGGGCCTGCCCGTCACCTTCCGCCTTTCCCCTCCAAGCCCCGCCCCCCGCCGCCTCCCATTGGCGTGCTCCGTTGCCTTGGAGAGACGCGAGCGCCCTCCTCTCGCCCCGCCCCTCCCCGCCGAAAGCCCCGGCTGCGCTTCCTTCCTTCCTCCTCCGCTTCCGCTCAGGGACCGGAAGCCGCGTCGGCTTGCGCCGCGCGGGGCCTGCCGGGAGCCGTAGTCCCGGCGCCCTGAGAGGGAAAAGAGCGAGCCGGCCGGCCAGTGAGGGAAACCAGCGACCCACCCACCCGCCGCCTCTCGCCGCCTTCGCCCGCTCCCGCTCGCCCGTTCCGCGCAGCCGCCGCGGCCTCGCGCTCCTCCTCCTCCTCGCCCGCCCCTCGGCCAGAGCGGCGAAGAGCAGCGGCGCGAAGGAGGTCGGTGGCCCGTGAGGGAGGAGGGAGGAAGAAGGAGAATAGGCGGCGGCGGCGGCGGCGGCGAAGAGGGAAGGAAAGGAGCGGGCGACGCCGCCGCCGCCGCCGCTCGTCAGGGAGGGAGGGAGGGAGAGGCGGACGCAGCTGCCGTGAGGCGCTTCGAGCCGGGGGGGGGAGATAAATGGGAGGAGGGGGGTGCGCAGAGGAGAGGGAGGGGGCTGTGAGGGGGGGCAAGGGGCGAATTAGGGGGGAGGGGTTGGATGTGGGGGGGAGCAGGCCGTGGGGGGGACCGAGGTCATGGCGGGGTGGGCGTGGAGAAGAGATGCTTCTTTGGGAGGGGGATGAGAGAAAGAGAGTCCGCGCGAAGGATGGTTTTTTTGGGTGGGTGGGGGGCAGTGACAGGTGTCTGGTCCTGCACGGGGACGACTTGACGTTTGCTTGCAAGGTGGCGCTTTCTCCGTTCTCCTCCTCACAACAACGACAACCCCGCGAGGTAGGCCAGGCGGAGAGGCAGCCGCTTAGCCCTGGTCCTCATGGTCCTCTTGGTCTGGGATGCCACGCTTGGGAGAGGTGGTCAGGCTCCGGATGGATCGGAGGAGGTATGGGGGGCTTGGTCTGGGGAGAGGGGCCCTAGGGATGGGAGCGCTGTAGGTGTGTCTGGCAAAGGGGTGTTGGCGAGTCTGGCATGGCGATGGAGGTAATCCTAAGAATTGGACCCAGGGTCTGGAGACAGCGACTTGGCTAGTGATGGAGGCGAGGTGATGTTGGAAAGCTGTGCAGAACCGAAAGAGTGAGAGTAGGGTTGGTGGTCCTGATGCTGAGGGCGACAAAGGGATGTCTTCAGATCTGATTTAACAGCATCAGAGGGAGGGGGGAAAGCCATGGTTCTGGTGGCAGGGAGGGAGGGTGGTAGTTTGGCAAAAGTTAGTTTGGCAGCTGCGTGGATTTCAGTGGGTTGCTGGGAGCGTAAGATTTTCTGGATTCTGGGTACTTCCTTCTGGAGCAGAATTCTGCTTAAGGCAGTACCCAGCCAGGTGCGTCCGGATGCTCATGAGCCTCCGTGTTGTTTGTAGTCACAATTCCTCTGGGTGTACGAGGAACAGGTAGAAAGGTAACAGGAGGTAGTGCATCAGATCACAAGTAGGCGTCATTATAGGGGAAGAGAATGGGAGTGAGGTTGCATGGAATTGGGATGAAATTAGATTCCTGGGGTTCCAACCTTTATGAGCCTTATTTTAACACTGGAATAAAAGCTTGCAAGGGTCAAGTTGGTTTTGATGGCTGGCTGGTGCTGACGGGAGTTGTAGTCCAGAACATCTGCAGGGCACCACGTTGGCAAAGGGAGCTGAGAAGCAGTTATTCTTGTTCTTGGAACATCAGTTGTAGGCGAGTTCAGGTTGGCAGCATGAGCTAGTCTACACTTCTTCTGTTGTAACAAATGGACTAGGAATGAATGGGACATGGACGGGGAGAGGCAGACTGGGATTAATAGCTGTTAAGAATATTCAGTGGCAGAGCTCGCTTCTTGATTGATTGAATCAATGGAGAAAACCTAACTCTGGCATTGTGTGCCAAACATCCCAGCCTAAACAAGTGTCTTCAGAATAACTTTGAAGTAGGCTAGGCTGAGATGTGTAGTGACTTGCCCAGATCTCCACCATGCTCTCGGTTTAGCAAGGATTTGAACTTGGACACCACAATCAGTCCCTAATCCACAGTTATTAGCACTAGTCTCTGTTTTATGCCTTTTTGGGGGTGTTCGCTCTCTATGTATTAAAAAAAATGTAGTAATTGCATACTAAACTTGGAGTAGCTATGATGGGGAAACTGTGAGACGGCTGGCACAATGTTCTTCACTGCATGGCTCTTGAGCAACAGTTGTTTTTAAGTGCCTAGCATGTCCTGGGAATTTGTGGGTTTGACTCTGCATCGGCTCTTGGATGGGTTTGCAATGACAAAAGGGTGACATAGAAGAGGGCATTTCAGTGGGTACAGGGTTTTTATGCCTGCATGGCGACTCTCACCTGCCAAAACTCTTAAATGTCACTAGGACTGGTACATCCTTTGCCTCCACTGAGACTGTGATGATCCTGGAAAACATATCTTTTATTTAACTCTATTTAAGAGTTTGTGGGAACTCTCAGTGGACCTCCATGTGGACAGCCTTCCTTGGGCACTCTGAGAAAAAACTGAATGGATGAAATGTTGCCCAAACTTGCCCACATCCTTCTGATCCTCCCAACCAAAGTCCCAAGTTGCCATGCCTGTCCTTGGTTACGGAGAACAGCCAGTAGGGATGCTGGCTTCTTTATCAGCCTGTGCTCTGGGCCTTTAATAGTGAGTTGATGATGAAAATATTAACACAGGGACTCCAACTCTCATCAGCCCCAGACAGCATGGCCAGTGGTGAGGGATGATGGGAGCTGTAGTCCAGCAAACGCCTGGTGGGCACCATGCTGGCAACCCCCCCTGTTTTCAGGTGGCACTGTTTTTTAATCTTGGTATGTCTTAAAAGGCTTCATCTGCTTGTTTCCTAAAAGTAAAGCTGCATTTAAAAGTAGAGGAGCAGTCAGGGCAGCCTGGCTTTTTTCAGGTCAGTTGCAATCCCTGCAACTCATAAAGTCATTGAATAATTAAGAATGTCTCTTGGGAATATCATGAGGATTTTTCAATCCCTTTGGTTATACTGAATCTTCTTTCACCCCACTTTGCTGTGGTTCTGACTCCACCCCAGGCAGCACTACTGGTTAGGACCAAACTGTGCTGCCTGGCTTTTCAAACTGTAAATAGCAGCTGGGGTGGAGTCAGAACCACAGCAAAGTGGGGAGGCAGGTTTAACACTTTCCTTACACTGAGATACTCCTCTTTCCCCCAATGTTTTCTATAGCAACAATTAGGAACTTGGGAGGGATTTTCATAGGTACAAATTGGAGGATGGGGTTATCAAACACAAATACGCACTGCTGCTGCTAGTTAAAGTTCTAAAAGGGAAATGTGTCGCCAAGTTAAACTTTTTTTTTAATGTGGGGCTTTGCACTTGGGATGGGGCATGGCTGAGTAGTTGGACAAAAAAGATCCCAGCATCAATCCCCACCATCTCCCTCTTTAAAGGATCTCTGTAATGAGGAGAGGGAAGTCCACTAGGAATTGAGATGTATGTGCTGAGATGATGGCGTCCTTGGGATCCTGCGATTTTGAAAAGACTGGTTTCATAGAAAAACCTCCTCCCAGAAGTTGGTTGAAAGGAAGCTGACAAACCCCAGCCAATAAGCCAGACCACATGTGATGATGAGGCATTTGGCTTCCTATCTCCCTCAGAAACACAATATTTACATACAAGTTCTGGTTGGACGGTTGCTTAAAATTTTAGTTACAGGTAGGTAGCCGTGTTGGTCTGCCGCAGTCGAAACAAAATACCAACTAAGTTTGTTATTGGTATGAGCTTTTGTGTGCATGCACATTTCTTCAGATACAGTGGTACCTCAGGTTAAGTGCTTAATTCGTTCCTGAGGTCCTGAAACTGTTCTTAACCTGAAGCACCACTTTAGCTAATGGGGCCTCCCACTGCTGCTGTGCCGCCGGAGTACAATTTCTGTTCTCATCCTGGAGCAAAGTTCTTAACCCGAGGTATTATTTCTGGGTTAGCAGAGTCTGTAACCTGAAGTGTATGTAACCTGAAGCATATGAAACCCAAGGTACCACTGTACTTAGTTGGTCTCTAAGGCGCTACTGGAAGGAAATTTTTATTTTGCTTAAAATTGGTTAGACTCTCCTTGATACATTTCATCTCTCCTATCTCTTCTCCCTCTTGTTTTTCCAGGAACTGGACCATTTTGCTCTGCCAGCGATGTTCTCCCTGAATTCATGTAGAAGAGGTAAGAAGGTAGCTGGCCGGACATAGGGTGGGTCATGGCATGAGGGAATCACTATTTTTGATGACTAGGGGGGGAAAGCTCTAGAACTGGTTCTCTTCTCAGTCACACCAGACCTTTGTGAGACTTGAGCTTCCCCCTGTGGCAGTGAATGAAATTTCCAGTCCCTTTCTATTCACACTGGCTTCAGGTTCTCATGCCGAGTTTCTGACAGGGACGGGGAGTCTGGTGCCCTCCAGCTATTGTTGAACTACAACTTCCAGAAGCCAGCATGGCCAATGGTCAGCGATGGTGGGAGTCTGAATCCAGCAACATCTGAAGAGCTTTAGGTTCCTCATCTTTGGCTTACAGCATTGGCTAGGACGTAGTCAGATGTACTACCTAGAAAACGATAAAGAAGTTGTGGGTCATTGTTGAGCTGAAAATCATCTCATGCCTTTGGCTATGAATTGGTCCATAATCCCAGGTGTGTTTTTCAGATGTCACATCAAGGCTCATTTCAACCAGGCACAACCAAAACATTTGTTACTGAAGCTGCTCATGAGCATGTAATTGGCCTCAAGCTAATAATGACACACATTCGACGATTCACATCTTTGCAGATCTCCAGTAGTTATTTTGATAGTGGCCCTTTCCCTCTCTGCAATGATGTGGGTGGCATTCAACTGTCATGGCTTATATAGAACTCACATACCCTGCAAATCCAGTTTTCTGTCCAATCTAGCCTTTACATTGGTTATCCACATTAGATTAGGCTTTGGTGTTACCCAACCCCCAATCCAATTTGAAATAGGAACGTTCCCCCTTTTTGAACCTCATATATCCCTTTTTCTTAGTTGTGCTGCTTTGCACCACCTTAGTAAGACTGCTGTCCTTGGTGTTGACAACATCTGTACAACATGTTCTCATCTTCTATCGTGTTGTCTCTTTCCTCTTTTCCCTAACCAAACTCTCCATTTACCTCATTACTAGTTTTCCACGCTAGTTGCTCCAGCCATCCGCCATCCTTGTTGTTCTTTCTGAGCTCCTGGCCGTTGATTTTAAAACGAGGTGCTCATGCAGGAATAAAGAATTCCTGGGATTGGCTGAAAGAGAGATGATTACTATGTCCGCCCGGTGAAGTACTATATCACCTTTACAGCCCTTTGGCATAAAGACCCTGCAAATTTTCATCACCAAGAGCAATGCATTCAAGGATTCTTTTCCTAAACGCACACTTGGCTCACTTGTCAGGTGAGTTGGCACGATGATGACATTGGCAGTGGCCGAATCAACTGCAGAACTTGAAAAAGAGACCCCAAGCAGGGCAGGAGTCCTCAGAACAAGGCTAGTGGTTTGTCATGGACTCCATGGTGGTCCTGTGATGGGAGAGGAACACAACAAAATTACCTTCCTGTCTGCATCAGAAAGGCTCGACCATGGCTGGTTCCTTTGAGACGAGAGTGGCAAGTTATGCCTTTAGCCTGACCTGGCAGGCTGCAGGACAAAATGTAGAAATTAAATGCTGTTAAATGCTTTTATGTTGCTTAATAAAAAGTTTTGTGACTTCAAATAAGGAGACCGTTTAATTTTTGGCATCTTTCCTACACGTTGCGTGCTCAGAGCTGCAAGCTTTTGTATAGCTGTCCGTGACAAACCACTAGCCAGACTCGTGTAGATGGTTGTCCATCATCTCACCTTTCTCCTTCAGCTCTCTGTTACTGTGCTCTAGCTCTTTCCTCTTCCTGTCAAAGATGGGGTTGCAGCTGCTATTCTTTTCACTGCTGTGTTTTACATACCTGGTTCCTTTCTCTAGAAATACTGTGGAGAGGGGAGGAATCCTATTGGTCCATCCTTCCAACCCTGACAGCTGATCCATTCCATGTCCACAGCCTGCTCCCTCCCACTTCTCTCCCTCATATGCCATATTTCTTTAGCCTCACTCTTTGCTCAGTCTCCTTCCACAGACGCAGTTGCCCTCCTTATGTAATCCCTCGGGGATAGACCCACCAACTCTTCCCCTGCCTCTAGCAACCACCTGCTTTGGGAAGCTCTCTCACACCTGCCCATTAGCCTTTCCTTCAGTTGTTAGGCTGGGAGAAAGGGCTTTGTTTGCTAGTGTGTGTGCCACCACACGCTGCCACCAAAGCACCTTTTTATGGTGTCTGGGGTAAGCAGAAAAGTGCCTCTTTCATTTGTTACTAGGAGCACTAAGGTATAAGCTGTCCATGTCACCTGAAAACAGTAATGAGAGCAGAAACACAGAAACCACCAAACATCCCCTACAGGTGCCGTTTCAGCTGCACAGCTAGTCCACCCAGCAGTGGCGGAACTGGACGCCCCTTGTAGCTGCCCAAGGGAAGCATTGGTTTTCATGCAGCAGCAGCACTTCTGCCAGCATTTGCCAACCTGGTGCCTACCAGACATTTCCCATCAGCCCCGTCATTGTATGGCCTTGCTGACCGGGGCCAATGGGCAGTTGTCTACCAGGTGTTTTGTACAAACCTGGTTGGCTAAGGCCAGCGTTCACATTCCTGGCAGCCAGGGCCGTCTTAAGTATATCTGGCGCTGTGGTGCAAAGCTCCCTTCGGCGTCCCGTTTCCCAGAGCTGTTGACCTTATGGAAGCGGGGTGGGAGGACAGTGGGGCTGGAGGAGGTGTGCAGTACTGGCGGCTCCTCCAGCAGGGAAGAGCCAGAGGCTGGATGCGGCACCTCCCAGCTCTGCTGGCCGCTTTGTGCCGCGGTCGCTATGGCAGCAGGAGGCTCCAGGCGCGGCACTGCTTGGGCGCAGCATGGTGGAGGTGGGCAAGGGCGGTGAGCTGATGCCAGGAGGCGCCACGTCCAGCCTCTGCCTCTTCCCTGGCACCCTCCAGAACTTGGCACCACTAGCCTCTGTGGTTAAGACGCCCCTGCTGGCAGCGTTAACCTGCTCCCCCAACCACATTTATTTGAAATCCAATTAAAGCTATTTAATTAATTTAACAGAATTGATGCACTTGATCCAGTGATACCAGCTTTTCAAAGTCTGATTGTCACTGACACCCCCCGCCTCCTAGCCCCTAGATGTGTCCCCTCCTTTCCATTCCTGTGCAGTAAGGAGAAAGGTGTCTGGCTGCATAACAAGCCGAGCAGGCCCTCGACACTTGTGACTACCCTAAAGCAGTGGAATTCCTTGTGACTGCTCCCCCATGCTACTTTTCCAGACTCCCACTTGTGTATTTCAACAAAAATCTTGTGTTAGTTCTCCCTTCATGTGTGTTACACATAGCCTTGTGGTCTTGTGCTGTGCACTTTGATGTGATAACCTTACTTTAGCTTGTGTGACGTACAGTGGCACGGACTTCAGCATAGCCTTGCACCCACCAGGGCAAGAGAGTGGTCATGACCCTGCCCTCCAATCCTTGCCCAGTGTCAGTGGGCACAATTATCTGCTTCGCTCTGTCTGCAGGCTTCTTGCACTGGGGTGGGACTTGATTTCCATATGTTGGCCTTATTATACGAACTTAGTCATTATCTTGACAAAGAGCAGAACAGAGCATTGAGGCCATGTTAAGATTGGGAAGCCCCCATTCTTACGTGTTTTTAAATTACCCTTGGATATGATGGGAGTTACTGTGTGTCATAAGACACATTGTTCAAGCTAACTTCCTTATGGGGGGGTGGGTTGTCTTCATACGGGTTTAATAGGCACACAGCAGGTAAGTTCAACTGGGCCACGGTCTCTTCATGTCTCCCTGCTTGGAAGAGCTGCTTGTGTACCCATGTTTATAAATCTTTTTTGCAAAGCACTGGCTCTTTATTTTAAACAAGTTTTTTATCTTATGAGCCAATCCAGTGAACTTTTGCTCTAGCAACAAAGCATTCTGGACCAAGGACAATTCCCACTGGATCAGTACCACCTTGCTTCTTGAAGCAAAGCTGTAGCATTCTGAGTTTTCCTGGGCTGTTTTGCAAGTGCTGCCTTGCTTACAAGGCAGCAGCGCTGCGGACAGACAATACATCAAGAAAACAGGCAGACTTTGGCAGAGGCCATTTGTTCACAGAACTGTTGACCCACATTCAGGCTGTTAGTGCGGACCCAACCATGCCAGCAGAGCGGCAGCCATCTGAATTCTTGTACCTCTGCTGGCCTCTCTTAACAACCTTTGTTTCTTCTGTCTTTTTGAAAGCCCTGGCTATCTAAAGTGGTTGTGATCTGTGCAGTTTTCGAAAGAAAGCCACAAGGCTTCCAGTTCCCTTCGGAGCAACACTTACGTTGTCATTTCAATAGCATAACGGGTGTTTTAAGATCCTACAGGACTGGAAAATTAAGGGGCTTCACCTTTTAGGCTGCAGGTATTGCAGCCCATTATGATGAGGACAGGGACGCGGGTGGTGCTGTGGGTTAAACCACAGAGCCTAGGGCTTGCCGATCAGAAGGTCGGCGGTTCGAATCCCCGCAATGGGGTGAGCTCCCGTTGCTCGGTCCCTGCTCCTGCCCACCTAGCAGTTCGAAAGCACATCAAAGTGCAAGTAGATCAATAGGTACCACTCCGGCGGGAAGGTAAATGGTGTTTCCGTGCGCTGCTCTAGTTTGCCAGAAGCGGCTTAGTCCTGCTGGCCACATGACCCGGAAGCTGTACGCCGGCTCCCTCTGCCAATAAAGCGAGATGAGCGCCGCAACCCCAGAGTCAGCCACGACTGGACCTAATGGTCAGGGGTCCCTTTACCTTTACTATGATGAGGACACCCACCAATAAGCCCGGAGAGAGGGGTGAAGGCAGAGGTGAGGCTTGCTGGACCCACCAAAGCCGCTCCTCAGCTCTTTGCCTAAATCCGAGGGGGCAGCAAGCACCTTTCCCCTGGCTCCGGAGAGGAGGGTCGGGCGAGGGGTCCTGGGGTCCTGCTGCTGGGTTGAGTCCGCCTGCCTGCCTGCCTGCCTGCCTTTGTGGCCTCCCTGCGCTTCACTCCGGCGCCCTCCAGGGGGCGCGCCGCGGAAGGCGTGGGCGCCCCTCTGGCCTCTGTGCGCGTGCGCCCCGCTCCTGCGTCGCAGCCGGCGTGCGAGCGTGCCTCCTTCCAAGATGGCGGCGTCCAGCCGGCTCCTGCAGATGCTGCTCGACGGCGCCGCCGGGCCGCTGTGGCGAGCGCAGCCCACGCTGCGTCGCTCGTTGCGGAGGGGCCTGTGCGAGCGCGCGGCCGGCGCGGAGCAAGCGCAGCAGGCGGAGGACGACGACGACGGCGACGCGATGGGCCGCCAAGGTGAGCCGGCGCCGCCGGTCGCTGGCTCGCCTTAGGCCGGGTGGCGGCGGTGGGACAGGGCAGCGGGCGGAGGGAGACCCTCCCCTCAATACCCGGCCTCATGGAAGCGGGGTGGGGGGCTATGGGCGAGGGGCATGAGACACCCCCCCCGCGCGCGCCGGTGCTCCTGCTGGCCTTCCTCCCCGGCCTTTTGAGGGCGCCTCTCCCGCCCGCGCTCCCGCATCGCCGCGCTTCTAACGGAGCTGGACGCGGTCAAGGTCACGCGCTGCACGTGCTCGCCTCCCCCCCCTTCCCCCGGCAAGCGAGAAATGAACCTTAAGGTGGCGGGGGGGGGGCTTCGCTTCGGCTTCCTAAAGCATGGGTAGGCAAACTAAGGCCCGGGGGCCGGATCCGGCCCATTCGCCTTCTCAATCCGGCCCGCGGATGGTCCGGGAATCACATGAGTGGAATGCTTTTACATGAATAGAATGTGTGCTTTTGTTTAAAATGCGTCACTGGGTTATTTGTGGGGCATAGGAATTTCCTCAATCCCCCCCCCCCAAATATAGTCCAGCCCCCCACATGGTCTGAGGGACAGTGGTGACGGCTGAAAAAGGTTGCTGACCCCTGTCCTAAAGGAAGTGAGGGGCTTCCCTAGGTATTCGGCCCACCCTAGAGGGTGATTTCACTCGCATTCTGTTCTAGAGGGCCCCCCCACACACAGGGTTGTGGCTCAAAAGAACATCCCATAAGCAGGAAGTAGTCTTGGACTTTAGGGGGGCGAGGAGGATCAGGAAGGTGAGCAGACTTTCAGTAGGTATTGTCTTTTACTGGGGCCTCTGAACTCCAGAATTGGTTTTCAATGCCAAGTAACCTCGTAGAAGGCCACGGTCGAAGCAATGGGATCTGTGCTGTTGCTTAATTCACTCTGCTGCTTTGAGTAAAATTGATGCTGTGGTTTAGTGCAAAATCCTTGCAAATATTGGTTTAGCAGGTCGTTACCAGCCCACTTTTTCTCTTAAGAAAAAGATGAGTCAGTGGCCTGGGTAATATGAGATTCTGTGCCACTACAGCACACCAGTTCAAAGCACAAAGTGCATTTGCAAATATAAAAAATGTTGGGCATGTTGTGATGATCTCTGTGATTGTGTTGGTCCATAAGGGGAAACTCCAAAGTCCACAGTGGTGCAGAACGTTAATTATGATCAACCAAAATTCCACAGAATTGTGGCGAGCTCTGGAGTTCCCCAAAACTTTTTGTCGAGCAAGCAGGAATTAGGGGGAGGTGGAAACTTTTTTTAAAAAAAACCTACTGTACTAACATTAGATGGAGGCCAGTCTGTAAACTCTGTTCCAAGCTGGTGATTGTAGGCTGATTACAAGCCAGACTTTTGAGTTCTCAGAGATGGGGAGTAACTAATAATTGTGGCTTCAAAGCCCAATACATGACACTTTTTCTGACGTGTTCAACCGCCAGGTGATTCCCCATCCTGATCTACAAGCGGACCTCTTGGCTATGCCGTCAATCTATATATTTTTTGTACTTTTTATCCTTGTTCCCCACACCACCTGCTTTGTACAACACTGTGCCTGATGAAGGCTTCTGGAGAACTCAGAAGCTTCCCACACCTTTGTTGGTCCCAGCTCTGGATTTTGAAGGTTGTTCTTGTATCTAAATTGTGTCCGATGATTGGTTTTCTATTGAGAACTTCCAAGTTGGGAAATGACCTGAAATGAATGGCCCCATTGCGGAATTCTTAGTGGGAAGTCTTTGCTCTTTGTCATGGTACCATATTTATTTATTTATTTTAAAGAAGAAAACTCATAAGCTTCTGTTTTCTGGGAGCTTATGGAGTTGCCGCTGAAGGTACCATAAGGGTATATCCATCTGTTTAAGCTCCACCTTCTCAAACCTTTTTTTATTCTGGATCTTTTCCTTCTTGCTTTCCTCTTAGATAGGACAATGCAAGGAGGTGAGTCAATTTCACTTTCACTTTTTCGTTGGCAAGTCTAGCTGCTGCCATAGCCTGTGTGTGTGTGTGTGTGTGTGTGTGTGTGTGTAGGATTGATCTCTGTTATCTAGATATGGTTTCTATTGAGCTCTTATTGTATGAACACTTTAAAGATGTTTTTGCTGTCTTCAGCTCAAACATCTGAGCTAGCTAAACGCTTGCGCAAGGTGGTTTGAGCATGTGGAGTTCTCAAAGCAGAGGGCCAGTTGATGCAGTGCACCTTCACCACACATCAAAAGCTCACTGTGCACCAGTGGTTTGTGTAAATCAGCCCCCAAGAGCAGCTAGCCCTGGGAGTTTTGATAAGACACCTCTTCCCTGGTGTCTTGAATCCTGGTAAACGGACCTCAAGGCTGAGTCTGCCGTCTGCAACATTGGACATTGCTGACCTCACATGGATGACAGATGCATTGCATGATTCATTTGTCTTGTGAAGTGTTCTCAGTTTGACAGGAGGTTAATTCTCCCATCCCACAATTTTCTTTCAGATTCAAGAGATTTACTGAAGGAATTTCCCCAGCCTAAAAATTTGCTCAACAGCGTCATCGGAAGAGCTCTTGGCATTTCCCATGCAAGAGACAAGCTGGTGTATATCCACACCAATGGGCCACGGAAAAAGGTAAACTGTCTGCAGCACCTAAAGCAATGGATGGAAGTGGCAGGGAAGCAAGTTCTTGCTCGGTGTTCGAAACTCCAATTGTTCTAGGCGCATTTTGCAACAGGGAATTTCATTAGCGCGAGCAGTTTCTGAGCTCTGGGCACAGAACTGTGCCTAAGATTTCAGATTAAAACTGCAGAGTGGAAGGAGGACCTTTTTCTGCCTCCCCACTTCAATCCACTCTCTGAAGACTTGAGAAGAGACCTTTTTGAGAATATTAGGGAGGTGGGCAGGGGAAGGACTAGACCATGCGAACATAATATTTTAGCTCATTCATTTTCAGCTTGGTATTATTGTTATTAAAAAAGCACACCTAGACATTCCGTTATTGTGCCCATAATCTCGGTTTAAGGTGCCATTTAGCTCCTAGCTTTCCTTTGTGTGAGAGCTTCTTGTGCGCATAAGATTACGGGTTAACACACTTCCATAACAAGCACACATCATAACTCTAGCAAAAGATCCTAAACCCCTCAGCAGTATGTATGTGAACATACATGAGTGCTGGTGGTACACAGGTAAGCCCAGGTACACACATGGTAACAGGAGGCTGAATCGGATGAGCGCCATGGCCCTTCACAACTCTACAGTGCTGTGAAAATGTCTCTTAAGGTGAAGCTGCATGTGAGGAGAGCTGGTGCTTGCTGTGCGGACTGCTGTGCTCTGTTAAGAAGGCACAGGATGCTCAGAAGCAGCATATATGAGCAGTATGCCTGACCTCTTGCCTTCTTTGTCTTTCTGCAGAAAGTCACGCTGCTCATCAAGTGGCCAAAGAACGTGGAAGTGGAAGGCTACGGGACCAAAAAGATCGACGCTGAGCGGCAGGCTGCAGCCGCTGCTTGCCAGCTCTTCAAGGTGAATGGGGGGGTGGGTTGTAAGGGGGGGGCATCCTTCATTTCGTGTCCCTGTCAAAGAGCATCCTCTCACGCACCCAGGCCTCACCCTGTGGCCAATTCTTGCTTTCATTTTACCAGCAACATCCTTATATATACACAGACACCTAGTATGATTCCAAAAACCACTAGGAAGACTTGCCCTCTGGCCGCAGGAGGTTCCCTGAGCTTTTTCTGCCACTTTGGGCCTTCCATATCCAGAGCCAGGTGGTGGGCAGAGCTGTCGGATTAAATGGGCTTTTGAGAGGCGAGTTGCAGTAGCCAGTTTTGGATTTGCGTTCCTGTAATGGTAGCTGTCCCAAACTTTGGGGGTTCAGCAAGCCAGAAGTGGAAGAGGTGCTGGTCTGTTTGACACACCACTCCCAAGTTAGATTAGAGGAAGGCAAAAGGGAAGTCTTGTTTCCCCACCAATGCTTCAAATCACATTCAGTGAGTGACAGTTGCTGTCAAAAACTAAGTCAAGCTTCCATGCTGGTCATGCATGTCAAAGGCACAAATCTCTATCATTATTATTATTATTATCATTATTATTATTATTACATCCTTCATCTGCAAATCTCAGAGTGGTTCATGACATAAAAATACAATATACGTTATAAAAGCGAGAATGAAAACAAACCAAACAATACCCCTGTCCCCACGAATACATTTAAAAGGGATATAGGTTGTTCATTCTCATCCCAGGTGTCTCTAACTTTCTCTTCTGCCTCTCCCCACCCTGTGCTATGGACTGCCATCGCTCCTACAAATTTCTGTGCTGTTTGCAAAGCCTGCACAGTATCCTACTTCTGGTGGTCTGCATGTACAAATGTGCATTAAACGAATGAATGAATGTGTATTATTACGACCAAACAGCCAGCTTACAGATGTGCATTGTTGCACTATGGCAGCCTTCACTAACCTGGTGCCTTCCGGGTTTTTCGATGGGGGGTTGTGGTCCAAAACATATCATTGGCACCAGGTTGGCAAAGGCTGCAGCATCAGAAGCAAATGTCAGCAATGGGATGCTAAAACCACAGTGAGCAAGAAACATGTGCCTTTTTTAAAAGGGGAGTGGTTTTCAAATGAAGTTATTGATACTGGCATGAAAAGTTTATTTCCTCAAATGCTCCTAAACATTGCTGTTTTTACCTATGTCATCTTGAATCCATAAAAAGGTAAAGGGACCCCTGACCATTAGGTCCAGTTGTGACCGACTCTGGGGTTGCGGCGCTCATCTCGCTTTACTGGCCAAGGGAGCCGGCATACAGCTTCCGGGTCATGTGGCCAGCAGGACTAAGCCGCTTCTGGCGAACCAGAGCAGCGCACGGAAACGCCGTTTACCTTCCCGCCGGAGCGGTTCCTATTTATCTACTTGCACTTTGACGTGCTTTAGAACTGCTTTGTTGGCAGGAGCAGGGACCGAGCAACGGGAGCTCACCCCGTTGCAGGGATTCGAACCGCCGACCTTCTGATTGGCAAGTCCTAGGCTCTGTGGTTTAACCCACAGCGCCACCCGCGTCCCTTATCTTGAATCCATGTATCTGTACAAAACAATGTGCCTTTGAAACTGTGCTTTCCATCGCTCCTCTCTTGCCCACCCTCCCTCCCTGCTCCAGAGCCTGAAATGCCTCTCTGCCGTGCTCTGGGTCCAGGCCAGCCTCCCTTAACCTGGTGCCTTCCAGGTGTTTTGGTCCGCAGCTCCCATTAGCCCAAGCATCACATGGCCGCCCTGACTGCACCTGAAGGTGATTGCAGCCTGAAACAACTGCAGCATCCCAGTTTGCGGAAGGCTCTGCTAGTTAGCCATCTTACTCCCCTTCTCCTCGTCCATGCTGAAATCTGAGACATTGCATCCAGGCCACACAACCATAGAACCCCAGTTCGGTCCTTCGTTGCTCTCCCTGACATTGGCAGGTGAAAGAACCAGCTTGCAAGTGGCGATGACTGCAGTTGCCGGTCATTGGGGCAGTACTGGGCTAGCTGAACAAAGAAGTCCGGCTTCTTTCTGACGCAGCTTTTGAGTGGTTTAAAACACCCTTTTCTTCCCCCCTTCCAGCCACCTTGACCGCCTTTCCTTTCCTCTGCGCAGGGCTGGGGTCTGCTGGGTCCCCGAAATGAGCTCTTTGATGCCGCAAAGTACCGCATCCTTGCTGAGCAGCTGGGCTGCCCCGATGAGCGGTGGTACTCAGAGGGCAGCCGGTGGCGCTCCAAGTCCGGGCCGTCTCTGGCCGACCTCTCGACCTGCTGGAGGAGGATGGAGCCTAGCGAGCCCATCCAGTCCCTGGAGCACAACAGGCTCCCCAAACCCATCCGGAAGGAGGAGCTGGAAGAAGGGGAGCTGGAAGAAGGGGAGCTGGAGGAAGGAGAGCTGGAGGAAGACACCATCGACGTCTCCGATTACCTGTCCATGGCGCATCCAGGGGCCCGCACCCCACCCAGAGACATGAGGTAGGAGAACCCCTGAGCCCTGAAGTCCATGGGCCTTTCATACATTCTGGACTCACAGCTGTCCATGGAGGCGCAGGTCAATTCTGTGTCCAGGGCAGCTGTCTACCAGCTCCATGTGGTACGCAGGATGAGACCCTGCCTGCCCACAGACTGTCTCACCAGAGTGGTACATGCTCTGGTTATCTCTCGCTTGGATTACTGCAATATGCTATATGTGGGGCTACCTTTGAAGGTGACCCGGAAACGATAACTAATCCAGAATGCGGTAGCTAGACTGGTGACTGGGAGTGGCTGCCAGTATGTTTCCAAGCACAATTCCAAGCACAAGTACCTATACTGGCTCCCAGTACGTTTCCAAGCACAATTCAAAGTATTGTTGCTGACCTTTAAAGCCCTAAACAGCCTCAGTCCAGCATACCTGAAGGAGCGTCTCCACCCCCATCGTTCTGCCCAGATACTGAGGTCCAGCTCTGGGGGCCTTCTGGTGGTTCCCTCGCTGCGAAAAGCCAAGTTACAGGGAACCAGGCAGAGGGCCTTCTCGGTGGTGGCGCCCGCCCTGTCGAATGGCCTCCCATCAGGTGTCAAAGAGAACAACAACTACCAAACTTTTAGAAGACACCTGAAGGCAGCCCTGTTTAGGGAAGTTTTTAATGTTTAACAGGTTATTGTATTTTGGTGTTCTGTTGGAAGCTGCCCAGAGTGGCTGGGGAAACCCAGCTAGATGGGCGGGGTATAAATAATAAATTATTATAATTATTATTATCATGCACACATGGCATCAGCATGGGATCAGGCCTTTGTGTGCTGGCATGGCCCCCAAGACAGCATTGGATGATGCCCTTGGCAGGATCTTTTGAGAGTCCTCCAGGCTCTTTCTTAGCTGTATTTATACACTGCCATATTTTTGGGGGGGTGGGGCTCAAAGCAGTTTACAAAAAGAAAGATAGAATAAAATTACCAAGAAGTAAAATTAACAGCAATAATTTAGGACTTCGGAAAAGTTAAAATAGCAGTAGATTAAAAACAGGTTAATGCTCACATCACTTTTCCGAATATCTGGGTAGGCCTGCCTAAACAGGAGTTTTTAGCAGGTGCCGAAAAAGGTACAGTGAAGGCGCCTGCCTGGTATCAATAGGCAGGGAGTTCCAAAGTGCAGGTGCTGCTGTACTAAAAGATCGAGTTCTTACAGATGTGGAACGGGCATTTTACGGCATCTGTAGTAGTGCCAGTTCTGCCAGTCACAGCAGGAAGATCTCAAGAGGTGAACTGGTCCCACAGTTGTTAAGGGCCTTATATGCTAAGTGTAGCACTTTGAACCTGAGCTGGTAGCAAATCAACAACTGTTGCAGCTCTGTAGTTCCACCAGTCCATCGTGTATTTGTTTTACATGTGTGTGCCTAATCCTCAGGTGACATGAGGAGCAGTGAGTTTACCACCCCCTTCCCGTGTGCCTCACCTGCTGGTCTGAGCCGTGCGTCTCCTGCCTGCAAATGCAGCCTCCTCCTTCCCCTTCCTGCTCGGGTGTGGTGTGTGGAGGGAGGGAGGGAGGAGCTGGGTGATCCTGGCCACGTTCTGGAATGCCACGGGGGTTCTGGAGCCAGTGTGATGCAAACAATTTCCAGAGCATAGAACAGCATTGCCTTTGGGAGCAAGAAGCACCTCCTAGTTCACCAATCCTGCTCAAACGTGTCTCCATCTGTTAGGAACGTCAGCTCTCCTGTTTTACGTTTTTCAGAGGCTAGTGGGGAAGAAATGGAGGTCTTTTCCTGGTAGCCACGGAAAGCCAGGAAGACACATTTCTGCCTTGGAAGTGGGGTGTCCAAGTGTGGCTGTCCATGGTCAGGAAGAGGGCACCCTGTTTTTTGTGGCTTCTAGCCCCCCTCAAATTCTACTTCCCCCCTGTATCAGTGTCCTGAACGCATACTCCAAGCCATACTTTGCAGTCCATAATAAAACGGGGGAATAATCTATTTGATGCACCGTTGCATAAATCCTGTATCTCCCGGCCGCTCTTCAGTGGGTGGGCAGGTGTAGCTCTGAAGGCAAGACAGATGCCAGCTGATGGAGGCCACATGGCAACCTTTAGAACGAGAGGATCTAGCAGCCGCCTTCTCTTCCCTCTCCTGCTGCAGGGACGGCTTCTCTCTCGAGATGACAGATGACAACACAGCCCTCCGGGCTCTGACCCAGTTTCCTCTGCCCAAGAACCTCCTGGCCCAGGTGATCCAGATTGCCACTTCTTCGTCCACAGTCAAGGTGAGTTGGAGAAGGAGGCGGGTCTCTTTGGAGAGGCTCTTCTTAAAACAACCCCAGCAGTATGAGAATTGGGCCTGGGGCAAGTAAGTGCCACCACCCAAATGGGAGCTGCCAGAAGTGAAGGGCAAAGAAACAGTATCCAAAGGAGCTTGCAGAGCAACGGGTCCCCAGGTGACTTTAGCCAGCGAGCCAAGCCACGTAAACTGCAGGAAAAAAGCAGAATCTGTAGAGTTCCCAGCTAATTTCTGCCCCTAGGGGAAGTTCTCCAAGCAAGCTTCCCCCTATCTCTGTCTTGGCTCGCTACTGAATAGTTCAGCCTTCGCCAACCTGGTGCCCTCCAGCAGTTTTGGACCGCAGCTTTCATCAGCTGCAGCCACCACAGCCATGCTCCTGCCAGGCTGGCTGATGGGAGCCGGAGTCCAAAAGGGAACCAGGTCGGCAAAACCTGGAAAAGTCATTTTCAAAATGTTCCACAATTGTCACCTCCCACCTTCAGAACCAGGGTGCTTACGTGATGGTGCCATTACCTGGGTGTTTCGCTCTTTATTGCCTCCAATTGTGCTTTGCTTTTAAATTGTTCTGTGCAGTAAGTGTGATTGGGGTTCGCTTCCAGGGGTTCCATGTATACACAAAGCCTGGAAGCCTGGAGATGTTTGTGTGAAATCTCGTGGGAACTTAGATGCTGCCATGAAAGCTCAACATGAGCATCCCAGAGCTGGCACCCATCCTGATCTGGGCTCTCCCCGCCCCCCACAAAAAAAGAGAGAGAGCTTAAAAGCACTTTGCACACCAGGTACCCCTAAGCGGATCCAGTGTGCAATTAACTTTTAAGCTCTCTGTTTTGCTTGGATTTAACTTGTGCAATTTCAAACCAGCCTGCCTTTCAGTTGCATGCGGTTGAAACTGTACAAGTTAAATGTCTGTAAGATGCGATCGTGCTGTATTTTGTAAGTCTCCTTTGAGACGTTTGTGTGAAGAAGCTAACGATCTTAATTGATAATGACACAATACGGAAAGAATATGCAGCAGCAGCAGAGCTCAGTCTGGCACTTTCTAGTCCTTTAGGCAGCTAGTAGGGGGGTGTTGCTGCAGTGCCGCCTTAACAGCCATGACTGACCCACTAGCCTCTTCCAGTGTCCTTTGGGAGCAGCTGAGTGATCCCGGCTTCTCTGTGAGTTGGAGGAAAGGAGGCAGCACACATTGGGAGGTAGTGGAGGCTCCTCCCGCTGACCCCCTCTCTTTTGCCTCGCACAGGAGTACATGCAGTTCCGGACGGTGGGCACCAAGACCAAGATCTGCAAACTGACCCTGCGCTGGCCCTGCCCCATGACCTTCGCCGCCAAGGGGCGACGCAAGGTGGAGGCGGAGAACAAAGCGGCTGCTCTGGCCTGCCAGAAGCTGAAGGTGAGACTTGGGGCTCCACTCATTCCTCCGTTATTTTATTTGCACGCCGCTCTTCCACAAAAAGAACCTGCCCAAAGTGACTGACAACCAAGAAAACTGGAATCAAAGCGTTTCAAAATCAAACGGTGCAAAAACAATTTCGTGGTAAGACAGCAAATAGCAAATAACAAAAAAACCCCAACATTTCAGTACAGTGGTACCTCGGGTTACAGACGCTTCCGCTAACCCAGAAATAGTACCTCGGGTTAAAAACTTTGCTTCAGGATGAGAACAGAAATGGTGCAGCGGGAGGCCTCATTAGCTAAAGTGGTACCTCAGGTTAAGAACAGTTTCAGGTACATACAAGCTACGGGACAAGGATAACTGACTTTAAAGATGAATGGGAGCCCTTTACAAAGTATTTGAAGACATAACAAAGCGAACTGGACTCCTTGGCTGGTTTTGAATAAACATTCACAAACTTTTTATTGATAATGATCAGCTAAATAGTTTGAGGATTTATACAACTGTGTAACATGCAGAAAACAGCATTTTTAGAGAAATCAAAGACTGCAACTGAGGGGGGGTGGGGGGTTCTGTGGAGAGAGGGAGGAAAAATGGGGGGGAAATAAGGATGATATGCTTCTGGATAATATGTTTTGTTTTAATTTTGAATAAAAAGTTTTTTTTAAAAAAAAGAACAGTTTCAGGTTAAGAGGTACCACTGTACTATAAATATGGCAAGATTGCATTACACTTCCCAACAGCAGCCAAAATAACAAGGGAGCTTAGCTGTTCCACCTTGGTCAAAGAAACACGCCTCCCATGTTGATTCTCACAACCCCTGTCCAGCAGCAGCTTCTTAAAAGCCTTTTAAGTGCAGGACGGGGGGAGGACTAGCTGGAAACACCTTCCATGATGATGTTCCTCCCCTAGCGCTTCCCACTGAAGGCGCTGGGCCACAAATGACCTCTGCCAGCCAGTCTCCTTTCCAGACCAAGGATTTCTGTCCCCGAGGCGGCCTTTTCCCCTGTCTCCCTGCCCACTTGGAGTCCCTCCTAGGCTGACGCACCCTCCTTCCTCCCTTCCAGAGCCTGGGCCTTGTGGACAAGAACAACAACCCCCTGAGCCACGCCATGTACAACATGACATCCCTCCGGGAGCTGGGCGAGAACCAGCGGAAGCCCTGCCACATCAAGGTCCCCGAGGCCACGCTGCGCAAGATCGAGAACTACCTGAACCATGTAAGCCTTCCCTTATTTCAAAGAAAGTGGGCTGGAGCTTGGGTTCCAGACTAGAACCAGTTGTGGGGAACATGTCACTGGGAGCCGCTGAACGTGGAACTCCTGTCACCAACTGGCAGAAACTGTTGAAGAACTCTTGCCTCGGCTACTTGTTACCTGTATGTTCTCCTCCTCCTCCCCTCTCCCCACATCATTGGCCGAGTGGCTGTGATGTCATGGAATGTTTGAAAGCGATCTAGCTGCTTGGGGTGAACGTATTGGAGATGTTGACTAAGAGCACAATTTCGAGGAGTGAGATAAAAGGTCAGTTTGGGACTTGGGACAGGAGAACAGCTTCCCTGGGGCTGAGGAAGGGCTGTGGGGCTCATGGACCAGGGGCCTGTTTAAAAACAGGCAAGACAGGTGGGGAGCGTTGTGGAGGCTGGAGGTGCAAGGAAAGCTAGTTTCACATTTCTGTGGATCTACAGTCATGGGGAAAAGAAAGTGCACCCTCTTTGAATTCTGCGGTTTTACGTATCAGGACATAATAGCAATAATTTGTTCCTTAGTAGGTCTTAAAATTAGGTGACTATAACCTCAGATGAGCAACAACATATGACATATTACTCCATGTCATGATAAAGATGTTAAAGATGGAGCCGAGGTAAGACGCGCTTATCAGAGCTCTCTTCAATTATACAGTGGTGCCCCGCAAGACGAATGCCTCGCAAGACGGAAAACCCGCTAGACGAAAGGGTTTTCCGTTTTGGAGGCGCTTCGCAAAACGAATTTCCCTATGGACTTCCTTCGCAAGGCGAAAGCCCATAGGGAAATCTCCGGGACAGCGGGGAAGCGCAGCGCGTCTTCCCCACTGTCCTCGGACCTCCTCTGAAGCCTGGCGGCGGGGCGGGGACACCTCCTCCCGCCGCCCGGCTTCGGAAGGATGCTCCGAAGCCGGGCGGTGGGGCGGGGACACCGCCTCCCGCCGCCCGGCTTTGGAAGGATGCTCCGAAGCCGGGCGGTGGGGCGGGGACACCGCCTCCCGCCGCCCGGCTTCGGAAGGATGCTCCGAAGCCTGGCGGGGGGCGGAGAGACCTTCTCCCCGCACCAGCCTTCGGAAGGCTGTCCTGAAGACTTGGGGTGGGAGAAGTGTTTTCCTTCCCACCGCCAACATTCAGAATGCTGTTCTGAATGTTGGCGGTGGGGAGGAAAAACCCTCCTCCCACGCAAGCCCCGGGAACAGAGGAAAAGCGCTGCGCGCCTTCCCCTCTGTTCCCGTACCTGTGCTGAAGGCTTGCGGTGGGGAGAAAAGCCCTTCTCCCCACCGCCAGCCTGGCAAGCGGTTTCCATAGGAACGCATTAATTGATTTTCAAAGCATTCCTATGGGAAACCGTGCTTCGCAAGACGAAAAACTCTCAAGAAGAAAAAACTTGCGGAACGAATTAATTTCGTCTTGCGAGGCACCACTGTATGTTGGGGCTCCTACTACTTTTTAAACTTTTAAACTTTTAAAAGCTGGAATCGTAAGGTGTACTTAGTTTTTCACACACGGCTTTTCCATTTTGGCTTTATTTCTGTTAAATAAATAATGACACGGTTCAATATACCATGCCTTGTTGTTCATCTGAGGCTGTATTTACCTATTTTAAACCTGCTAAGGAACAGATAATTGTTATTATGCCTTCATATGTAAAACCACAGAATTGTAAGAGGGTGCAGTTTCTTTTTCCCGTGACTGTAGCTGGACTCCAGATTTCTGCTGTTCCAGCTTTCTCCGCCTGGAGGATATCTTTTCCCACTCGGAGCTGCCTCTTAAGCATCCTCATTGGTTTCTGCATCTGCTTTGCTGTACAGATCTTATCCTCCTTGAGATAACCTTGCCAACTAGATGACTAATACTCCAAAGAAGCAAGTTTTAAGAGCAGGCAGCCTGAGGCCCTTGAGTAATTTCGTAGCCATCCCAGCACTGAAATTCAGTTCTTTGGTCGGGAAGGTAGTTTTGCTTTGGTGAACGATGGAGTAGACTGAACTTGGAAGCAAGACAAAAGCACACCAAGAACTCAGGGCAATGTAAGTTTCAATAGTGGGAGTGGTCCCTACTCGCAAATCAGTAGTCAGTAGTAACAAAAAATAATCCATTCAAAAGTATGTACAGTGGTACCTTGGGTTACATACGCTTCAGGTTACGTACGCTTCAGGTTACAGACTCCGCTAACCCAGAAATAGTGCTTCAGGTTAAGAACTTTGCTTCAGGATAAGAACAGAAATTGTGCAGCGGCAGCAGGAGGCCCAATTAGCTAAAGTGGTGCTTCAGGTTAAGAACAGTTTCAGGTTAAGAACGGACCTCCGGAACGAATTAAGTACTTAACCCGAGGTACCACTGTATACTGCCAAAGATTACAAACTCAAAAAGAGATTACAAACTCCATGACAAATCTAACTATGGACTACTCATAAACTCTTATCTTTAATTCTGTAACAAATTATTGTGTTATACAAATTTTTATGAGTTTGTAATCTCTGTTAGAGTTTGTAATCTCTACTTGAGTTTGTAATCCTTATCAGAATACATACTTTTGAATGGATTATTTTTTTGTTACTATTGACTGCTGATCTGCGAGTAGGGACCACTCCCACTATTGAAACTTACATTGGCCTGAGTTCTTGGTGTGCTTTTGTCTTGGTTTATTTAATGACATGAACTTGGAAGCAGACTTCACCCTCGCACGGGTTCTGCAGCAGTCAGAGGGCAAGGCAAACTGCCCCCCTCCCAAGGCACTTTCGCCCTCTCCTCCCCCCACCCCATTATTCCTGCCTGTTTTTAATCCGCCACGGTTTCTCCCTAGGAAGCCTAGGGCTTCCTCCATAGCCGAGAGCCATGTTGCTTCAGCAGTTGCTGTCAATGCTGCTGTCATTTGGCACCAAAGGCCTAACGCTGAAGAAAAGGCCACTTCTTCTCTCCTCCCTCTCAGTACCCAGTGGACACCCAGGAATCCAGGCCACGCCTGGCCGACGACATGATGAACTTGAGCAAGGAGTCGGGCACCCTCAGCGACGCCATCACAGGCAAGAGTTACATCCCCATGTCGGAGTCGGAGGAAGTTCGCCACAGCCAGAACCTCCTGGCTCTCTGGAAGCGGAGGGGCAGCTCCTGGCAGGAGACCCAGCCTCTGCCCGTGGACTCGCACCGGGAAGCCATCCTCTCGGCCAT